ATAAACTCATTATCATCCATTAAACAAACTCACGTTTTTTTATGAAATGAATTTTAATGAATGTAATGGTAACCCTACCTGAGCTACCGGTATATACTGGCGAGACACCAATGAGGAATGGTAGGTGAGGTTGAAGCAGGTAAATCAACTCAACATGATGATATTAACAATGAATCAATCACGTAGGTTTTCGGAGGGAAACTACGAGGAAATCGACCTGATAGGGTATATTGTTAGCTATGAGCTACTAATCCTCATTACTAACAATCCCTTCTCTCCCCTATGAACATGAGTAGGTAGGTAGTCAATGTTTTAAGAAGGACGCTGCAGCTCATTCCTCGTCTATTAAATTCTCTTAGTTGGCTCTTACGACACCCGCGGTAAAAGAAGGGGTGGCCTATTCTATTCTATATCGGGCAATTGAATAAGTATACTGTATTTAATCAATACTTCACATATAGACAGGCATAACTATAGGTATAATTGTAATCTTATATTATTACAATACATCAACTAAATTACATTTAAACCGTTTAAGCCGTATCTGAGATTATCGTGCAAACGCACGAGCTAACAAACTGATAAAAATTCTAAAAATTAAACTATTTTTTGTCTCAGTAACATAAATCTATAAATAGTTTTTTTTTTGTTTAACATTTAATGTACAGATAAAGCTCAGATACTACAGATAACAAGTAACCAAATTTCTTCAAAATATATCTTATGGTTTTGTCTACATTCATCATGTCAGCTCTCAACTGTTCATTGCTGATGTTTTGCAATGAAAATAAGCGTAAGATAGTGTGGTTAATTTATTAAACATTTATAATAAATAACATAAATAAAATATATAAATAAACACAACTGGGAATAATTAACAAGACAACTCACTGAAATTCAACACACGTGCTACATCACGTATATCTAATTTGACAGATAGATATAGATGGAATAAGACTTTGACAACTAAAGAGTTTCCACACTGAAAACCTCCCCTCAGAAACACAGCCTTGAAGGCTTTCTTACTGTCCTACTTAGCTTTGTTCTGTAGGTGGCATTAGGAGTCACCAGAACTCATAGATACATCCTGTCCTATAGATTGGCCACTACCATTGCAATTATCGTCATAATGAGCTCTTTAAACAATATCAGAAGGAATAGGCCTATTGCCAGTATTATAGGTAGGAAATGATTTGGTAAGTCACTAAGCTTATTAAGCCAACCTTTGAAATAGAATTTACATATTTCACGCAAAACTTTATCTTTAGCAGTTTCTCATCTGAAGATTTCTTTCCATTCTATGCTCATAGATAAATATTTGGAAACTGCATGTACCATTGCAAACATTTCTGGGTCACACATTAAGATAGTTCCTAGATAGCATATCTGCAAATATAAGTTTCCTACCTGGTACATATACTAGTTTTAAATCATTTTTGAGTAATTTTAATTTTAATCTTTGTAGAGAACCAATTTTTTTATTTTTATTTACGTATGTATTTATTATTGGAATTAATGGTTTGTGGTACGTATATATTATATTTCAACATATATATATATATATATATATATATATATATATATATATATATATATATATATATATATATATATTTATGAGATTTCTGGGTACTAAACTGTACTGGTAATATACAGTTAGCAACTGCTGTTCTGTCTGACTGTAATTCAATTCAGCTGCGTTCATTGATCTTGAACCACAAACCACTAACTTATTATACTGGAAGAGACAACAGCCAAGTCCATTTTTGGAAGTATCATAATGTATAACAGAATTTTTTATTCTCTTCAAAACAATCTAGTGATGCTACATACATCTTTCAGACGTCGAAAAGCCTTATAATGTACATCATGCCACTGAAAAATTATATCTTTCTTTAGAAAACTAAAACAGCGAAGACGTTAATTCTGATATAATAGGCATATAGCGTCTAACATAATTAAAAGATCCTAATATTATTTCAAGTTCTTTTCTGTTTTCCGGACTTTTCAGTGGCAACAATGACTCAACACGCTCTGTTGGGGAGTATCAGAGATTTTCCAGTTTTATGGTGAATAATAAATAATTGTCTTTCAATAATAAATTGCTTTCATATATTTGATAAAAAAAATTATGCAATGAAGATACAAAAGAAGAACAGTAACTGATAAAATAAAAAGAATATAGGGCTATTAAAATAAACCTAAAAAGTTGCAATTTTCAATACGCTCATTATCCACTTTCATACCGTCCTTACCGAAAATTTGTTCTACATATTTAACTTTACTGTGTCTGTACTCTAATTTTTCCTTATTAAAAATAGCATTCACACTTTTGGCTCTCTCTATCACTGCTGTTAAAGCTTTATGATGTTCAGATTCATTTGAACCCATTATTAACATATCAGTAAACCAGATTAGGACATTTTTTAGGTCTCCTAATAATTTTTCTAACTGTTTCTGAAATAATTATGTAGCATTAGTGAGACCATTGGTAAAACTTTATACCTATGAGACAACAAATGGTGCACCATGGTGTGTACTATTTGTCAACAACATCTTCTAATGTAGGCATTTGCTTAGGTTTCCTAATAATATGTTTATTAAGGTCATGAGGATCTCGAAAAAGTCTCAATTTACCATAATCCTTGTCAACTAGAACTAGTTAATTTAACTATACAAATACTCTTATTTAAATCTTTTACTTCTATTATTGCTTGTCTGTTTTCGAGCCTTTTCAATTATTTTCTTAATGATTCTAATAAGGTATGAAGTTACTTACTTGAAGAATGAAAATTTAAATATTATTTTTAATGAATTGCACTTTGTCTTTATCAATTCTACTGTTTTCTTTTATACTGTTTATTTCTTTAACTAAATTTAATTTTTTTTTAAACTACTTAGAATGGCAAACAAACTAACAGACCACCTGATGGAAAGTGGTAACCGTCGCCTATAGACATGAGCAGTACCATAGACATAACAGAGTAAACTGTCTTGCCCATGATACCCCCCTAGCGTTGCCATACCTGAGGACTCAGGTGTTATTCCTCTGTATCCTATAAATTCACGCCATATCCCACCCTTCAAACCGAAACACAGCCATGCAGACACAATTGCTTTACGGTTGAAACACGAATGGGACAGAGGTACCCATGCAATCGACTTTTGTACAAAGTCTCTCTCTTGTTTTAGTAGCCTCGGGTCCCAACAAATTGCGAAGTATTGAAATTTTTATTTTATCGGTTGAGTTGTCATACCTGGTAATTAAATAATCTTGCAACAAATAATAATAATAATTTATTTACTCGAAATGTGGTACAAATGGTCTTAAGTGGTACACATTTCACCTTATCTAAAGGCATGCAAATTTTGTCTTAGCACATGTTAGTTAGTTTTTAGTGGCTAATATTTTAAAGTAAAAATTTATCAATATATCATACATCAAAACTTTCCATAACTTCCAGTCTCCATATGCATTTGTTCTTTGTAAATCTAAATTTGGTGGATGTTTTACATTGTTTGAAGCGGCTATGTTGTGTTACACTCGTGCCCCCTTGGCACGAACGAAACATTTTGTAAAAAAACAATTCGCAAGCGGTGTACACTTCTTGTAATTTACAATTTTGACTGCGCCATGTTTTATAATGAAAATGTGCGTATGATAGTGTGGAATTAAACATTTATTTATTACAGACACAACTGGGAAAAATTAATACGACACAAACTCACTAATACTGAATACACATGCTACATCATATATATCTTTTGACAGATAGAATGTGACCTTGATAACCAAAGTATTTCCACATTGAACAGTAACATAAACCTCCACTATAAGGGAAGGTATTTTTATTTTATTTTATTGGCACATAAAACAGATCACAACCATAAAAAACTCAAATAATAGTTACATTTGTGAATCGGCTAGGTTATAATCCAATCACATCATGTGCACAGCATGAGTAATTCATGAAAAGCAAACACATAAAATAAAGAAAATACTTAAATACCAGTAAATACCACGCTTGGCTGGTGGGTTGAGGGTTCTTCCGAAACTTCTACTACTTCTGGCAAGCATTTAAGAGAGCACCCACAGTGACATATTTCGATGAGCTCGTCTGATTGCTTCGTTTTTAAATTGGTCTTAATATACATTTTCATAATAACTGACTGTTTAATGGAGCTGACAAAAAAGCAATATATGTACTTTTTGAATTAGTCCAATTAGGTTTATAGCTTCCTGGCAAAATGAGGCTGAATAGCCATCTACAACCTAAAAAATTTAAGAAGTACAGTATTAACACAATTACTCTACTTTTGATTAATAGCGAAGAACTATATAGTAATTACGAAACACAAATTAAATATTTTAAATAAAATACGAAGGAAGATTCACGAAGGAGTTTCTAAATTGATCACCTTCATCCCTAATGCACGCATGCTATACGCCCTCAAATATGAACGACTTCACTTGCCCGCTGCATACTAATTATCTTTAATACATACTTACATCTTTGGCACCGCTGTTGAAGACGTGTGCATCTCCGATTCCTATAGGCGAGCACCGTTGTTGACCTATGACTATGCGCCCCGCAAAAAAAAAAAAATTACTAAACCTCTTAGTAGTCAAAAGTTGCTTATTCGTTTGCCAAGTTTGAATTTGCCGCTCTCCGAATTTGCTGCCGAGACATGCCCCCGGCTTGTCTCCTCTAGATCCGGGACTGATGCCGTTACGCGCAAGTGGAGTTACCATTTCATTCACATCCATTAAAAAATATTCTAATCTTCTGGAATGGCAACGCATGAGAGGTACCGTGGACGTAGAAATTATATATTATACGTAGTATAGTATGTAATTTCAGTAGTACTATTATCAATATGTGATACTTACTATTTTTCCTCAGGTACAATATAAAAATATACATATGTAATAGTTAATTTTTCAGTGTAATTTTATTATTATTAAAATAAGTTGATAAATTATAATAAAAGATGGCAGTAAATAAAAGATAATTTATTTAAAACAGCTTACAAAGTAAGTAATGTTTAAAATCTAAACAAAAATAAATCGTAATTGAAGTATCGACTATATCTTAATAAAATTTTGAGATACCTTTTTATAATATCATTTCAATAAGAAATTATTTGTGTCTACTAAGTATCTAGTAATGTTTAACCTAATCAATAATAAGTATAATTTACAGGGTAAAACTGAAATCATTAAGTTGAATCGTCTCTACCAATAAAATTAACCGTTTTTCCTAAAAAAATATAGGTCGTAAAACATCCAAAAAGATTAAAATCCACACTAATACAGTATGTCATGCTGTCAAATTAGACGGATAGCTGTAGGAAACTCAACATTTTTTGATATTTTTCGACCTATGTATATGTTTCTTTACACAAAAATCTTCAATTTCTCCGACTGAACTTTCCATTGAAAAGATATTCATGATTTCGTTTCATTCCTGTATTGTTCGGAGTTACAATAAAATGGGTAAGTATTATTTTCATATTTGCTAATAATTTTTTCTTATAAAATAGAAGGTAAATATTATAGATACTGAATCACAAAATAATTCTCTCTCTCGGCCTATACGTCCCTAAAACATCACTGACGTGAACATAATTTTGTACATAGATAGAATAATATTCACCAGATAGATATCTATAGTTGTAGTTTTTAGTATGTAACTATATTCTAATTGGCAATGCATGAGGGGTATGGACCATGGTCATCGTCAGTGTCGATGTTCGTAGTGGTCTCAAATCTATAAGCGACGGTTGTCGATCAGATGAGCTTTCAGCTTATTTCTTATTTCAAATAGAATGAAAGAAAAAAACTTATATAATTATAATACTTTTGCTGGACTGATATCCAGGGTACATTCTTTCGCTTGCACCTAATTATGTAGTTAGGTACTTAATCCAATAAAATACAGAAATTTTTACCTACTTCATGATATTTATTAACAATATACATATTAAAATTGATATACCTATGCATGCGGATTTTCGCACTATTTTAACAAATTTTCAGTTACCAGCAAAAAAATTTGATAATTTATATCAAACTATCAAAAAGCTTACTGTATGTTCAAATCGTAATTTGTATCTTTTTAAAAATGTTATCTATCAATGTAACAGAACAATTTTTTCTAAGTTATAGAGGGTCGAAAGCAATTAAAAATATAAAGCTTCACATACTAACATATGTTGGCATGTATTTGCATATACCATTATATTTTATAGTACTATAATCTTATATTTTAATTTATAAGAACCTACCTATATGAAATAGTTGTCCTTTCACTAGCAATTAATTAAGTTTTTCATATAAGCAACAGCTACCTTTTCAATTAATTTTAAATCAAAGTAATTAAAAAATATAGATGGTTTTCTACTAAATACTGTCTTGTTGCTATTTTAAGGGTTAAATACTTTAAAAATTCAAATTACTTCATCGAAAAAATAAATCTTAAAATCCCGCCGTAGGTAAACGAGATTTTAGCCCCTCGTTTACGAAATACGATTAGAATTAATTTAACAGAATTTATAGTTGATAGTGAACTTACAGAATATTTTTTTAATGTTATTTAAAATTGTAAAATTGTTGTTGAACTAAAACACAAATATTTAAGTTCCATAAAGCCTTACATTATAAAGGTAATAATAAAAAACACTTATAATAAATGAAGTAACATAAAAACGCGATAACACTCGTTAATTATCACAATGTGCAAAATGCGTCATTCCACATTAATAGTTCTTTGATATATATTTTTAATTAAATGGAAATCTTCATTGTCGAAATGCTCCTCTAAGTATGTTATATTTTGTCTATGGATTCGCTAGAGTTGCAATTAAGATTTCTATACAAAATTGTCAATGTATCTAAAATATAATGCAGAAGCAGGTAATCTAAAGTTCTGTTTGGAATCCAGCAGACATAACGATGTACAGAAACACACATTGCATTTCTAATTAAATATAAAGTACAACAAATTTGAAACTGGCACTTATTACCTGTATGTAATTTATGAATTTATTAAGAAAAATGTCCTGAATCCCAAATAAGGTTAGCATGCAGCATCGTCGAAATTCAAAATATCAGGAGAATAAAAATGAATATCTTAAAAAGAAAAGAATACTTAAATCTAATTGACAGTTTTCTATAAGACTTTATAATATGGGTCTCTTCATATGATTTGTTTATATTCTATTACAGGATTATTAGAATAAACAAACATGTTACTATCGAATAACCAATACCTATTTTCACACTAACTTTTATTTATAATTGATTTATTCACATATTTGTCTTAGATACTACTTGACTGCTTTCAAACGCGGTTTATAGGAGGTCTTATCGAGTCCTAAACTAATTGCGCAAACCCGAAGATAAATATGTGAACAGAGCCAATATTTTTTTGAAGAAGTATGTAATTAACTTTTTTTAAGCATATCATTGATCAGCTTAGATAACTTTGCAGGAGACGTATGTTCAGTAATAATAAGTAATAAATTTATGAAATTACCAAGTTATCTATTTCAAGAACTTGAATGGGAAATTATATCATTTAAATAAGTAGGAATTGTTTTAGAATCCTATTATTAACCACCAAGCTATTCTTGATTACTTGACTGCAAAAGACACGATTAATTCTACCATCATTTGTGAATTAATCTAACATTTTATCTAATACATTTCAACCCTTATACAGGACTTTCCTATTTTTAAGAGTTTTTTTTTTATAACCGTAAAAAATAAAACCAACTTAAAGCGGTCTTTGTAACTGTTAATAAAATGTACCAAAGTATAGGTCAATTTAGGAACCTGATGAAGATCTGACGTAGCTATATTTCACTTAATACTAAACTAATTTAGTTGGAGTAAAATATTATCACCGTAAAAAGATTTTTTTCAACATTATACTTTCTACTACAAGCGATGCAAAGACCGAATAGTTCATTAGAACTAAATTCTAATAATCAATAATCGGTCCGCTTAATCCGACTTTACGTCTGTCTCTGCAAATCTTCGATCGAAATGTCGACAAGTAAATTTTTTGTGTTAAAAATATTTGAATGCAGATTTATGCTTTTTAAAACATTTTCAACCAAATACGGTGATATAAACGTACACAAAAAAAAGTTGACGGAGGCGAAGAGGACGGAACAGGCGCCGAGGGCGAGCGGTCCGTTGCGGTCCGTCAACGGAGCTATACGCATTGTGTGAGATACCTTAGGTTCCTAATATTTCATATGTTCATAATAACTGTGAACTGACGCAGACGTGGTAGCTGGTGGTGCAGGCGTGGTTGTAAGGGACGCCGGTGAAGGCAACGTCGGCAAAGGCGTCGGTGGCGGCGTGGTGTACACCTTACGTTCTGGAGGCAGGGTGGAGAGTGATGAGGATAGTCCAAAGCTTCCTAGGCCACTGATAGAGGATCCCCCCAAGGTACTTCCAGAGAGCATCTGGCCGTGGACGCCACGCATACCCGCAAACATAGGCGTTGTACCTGGAAAAAATAATAGGAAAATAGGTTTAATTTTGTATATATTAGTTAGGTACATTTGAATTCGTATTGCTTTTATGTACCACACCTAAGTATTTAAACATGATAATCAAAGATAACTAAAAGCAACGAAACAAAAGCCTAGACACATCGTAAGTAATAAAGGATTATGAAATGATAATTTATCGCACCGCGTAGAAATAATATAAATTAAAACTTTTTAGACAGTCATTCCATTCATGAAAAGAAACAATTTTTGTCCTAAATTTTAAACAAATTCCTTACATATTGTACGAGTCAACTGACGAGTAAGCTTGTATGAAAGTTATAAAACAAAGGTTGTTCATTTTCATAAACTTTTTCTTTACCCCTAAATACCCTAACTATCTCTGAGATAGACCTAATTGTCGCACTATAGTACCCTCGTCGTTTATAGAACGGGGTGCATGTCATGCTACGCTTATCTATACTTCTATACCAATGTTATAAAGAGGTAAATTTGTGAGTTTTGAAGTTCGGAGTAATCTCCGGTACTACAAACGTGATTTTGAAAATTCTTTCAATGTTTCGTTGTTAAGGTATATTATTTCTGAGTACTATGAACTACTTTTTATTTTAGTAAATATATGTTTTCAATAATTAATCACAATAAATATAATTGAAGTCGGTAAAAATTGTATAATATAGCGCGTGCTATCTGAATGATTTGATATAAAGAAATAAAATCTATAAGCAAAAATATTGGTTATTTTTAGCTTTATAAAAAAAAAGCCCGCGACACCATATATCTATGTTTAACATCTCAGCCTAAAAATAACTTTTATGTTAAAAGTGAAATAAATTTTACAACATTAAGTTTGCTAACAGATTTGACATATACTTTACAAATTCTTATAAAAACAAATCAAAATGGAATTTCATGGAGAGTAAAATTACTTTTTACAACAAGTTAATTGATGCAGTTGATCAGAAGTTAAAGCGAAATAAAAAAAATAAGCCAGTAAATTTATTGTATTGTTGCTGGCGTTAGCCGTGTAAGAATACTAGGCGATGCACGGAGATGAAGGGCGCAGAAGGAACTATATAAACATGCATTTTACTGATTTATGTTATGGTTGTCTATACTATTTTTTATGTCTCAGGTATTGTATGTTTCTCTTTTAAAGTAAAGTAAAAAAAAATATAAAATAAAAAAAAATGCGCACATCAATTTGCTAAACAGGCCGTTCTTTTTAAAATCTTAGAGAATATTAAAGCAGTACTATCACACACGCCAAAATACCAGCCTTATATTAAAATGTGTGTGAACAGTTTAAAAGTTACACAAACAAATATTGCACCCGTGCGAATCAGGGGCGGGTCGCTTGTATACAATAAAAATAAAATACCTACCTACATGTATAAGGTAGAAGAAATATCAATAGTACATGCTGTTAAGGGAATCGATAATTCGCTGTACATTCGTATTTAACTAGCATATAAAATAATATAGGTATCCGAGTACACTGAGTATCTGGCTACTCGTTCCAGATAAAATTGGAATTTGTTAGGCTATAATTGCACGCTAGTTCCCATCGATCTACTCGCCTGCTGACTGTCTGTTGTCGGCCACATGCACGCTCTGGTACCTAATCGCTTTAATTTAAACAAATCTCACAAATGCTCCCATTCGGGCGGTTTTAGGAATAAAATCCTGTTGCCAGTTTCTATTTTCTAAGAATTTAACACATGTTACCGTGCTAGATACACTCGATGTTTGTATTTTCGCGCTTCTTCTGATGTACATACTTAGTGCATACGATGGTGAAGATAACAGTGAACATATGGTTGTTTTTAGTTTAATCTCTGCTATCCAACGTTAAATAATTTAGTACCTATCCATATTTAATATATATGAATAATGTATTATTATTATATTATAATCCTCTGTATAGGAGTCGGTGATATTCTATTGACTACGTGCAAAACCGAGATTGAAATCGAGATATTTTATCAGTTGGATACATGCACTTGAGAATACCTATTAAAATACTTATATACATAGGTAAGCCGGTAAGCATTTAGGCGTTCACAGAGAAATCTTGATGTCTGTCTAATAGAGTACAAAATAAAAATACCCTGGTGTCTGTGAACTCTCCGTACGCGTTTCATAAGCCGTACTCTTGCGCTTGTCATCACTTCCCAGAGATCGTAGATCACGCGTACGGCTCGCCGTCGATGGAATAAATTGCTCTCAAGTTGGGTGGCGACGAGAGACATGCGCCGGCGCAGCGGTGCCGTTACCAAATTACATTTACTTTAACCATTCAACTACATATTGATTGGTATTTAAGTGGTTCAGGTCTATGACGCTACTCACCCAGCTGCCTGTCACACATTGGGGATACAAATATAATTGGAATTCGCACAAATCGCACAGCAAATTTATTAGGTATTAAACACACAATAATTATTATACACGAACCAGCGACTGTGAATCCTGAATGCCGGAAATTTGCGGTGCGTTTCGTTATGAACACATTTTTATGTGACTGCGGCAGTAAATATGTATCACTGGTTTTTATATTTGTTAACTGTGCGGTACTGTTTACCTAATAATATTAATTTACGATGTCTATGTGTATTTAATAAAATAAAATGGTGATTTGGAACTTTTTACTGCTTAATTAAGTTATTTAAATGAAACGGTGGGTGGGATGGTAAATGTGGCATTAAGGATTCACGAGGACGCAATACGACGTTCAATATAATAAAAAAAAGAGAACATAAACTTAACCATTTTAAGGTATCAATGCCTTGAATACAGTATGTATAATAATTATCAATAAAAAATACAATAATACTGTATTTTTATTGACAATTATTATATATTTAAAATGCAATGAAACGTTTAAAAATTGTAACAAGTCGCATAATAGCCTCTTTAACAAAATAGATATGCTTTGAAAGGAAATGAGAACATTTCAATTCGCGGTAGGCTTCCAACTATTGAAATTTAATACCTGGTCTTCAGGTAGTGATGAACGCCCTGTTCTCAACTCACAAAAGGCATAAATGAACGATGATAGTCTGGTATTGCGCCTTCGGTCCTCCCTAAACGAAGCAAATTAGATAAATATTTAATCTCATAAAACCAAAATCCAAAATATTTGCCAACTGTCAATGATAGGTATTCTTAAATTATTAAAAAGACGAAAATATATATCTACTTCGCGAAAAGGGTGTATCTTTTTCTAAATATAATGTTGGAATTCATGAATCCCTTTTAAATTTGAAAATAAATATCTATCCAATACACGTTATCAGCAAATGATAAAAACCACTATATGGATGGTAGTTTTGAAAATAAAAAATTTAAAGTTTACAAAAGTTTTATTTTTATTAACTTTTTATAAAAAGTCTACACAACAAAAACGATATATATATATATATATATATATGCCTACTAAAAGGTCACACATTTTTTATCATGCAAACTGGGATATCTTGAAAAAAGTTAAGCAAACAAGGGTCAAGTTGGTATCTGAAAGGGTGAAGTTTTTTCTGGCCTGTTCCGGCCAAGACACTGATATGTAAATTGCGTTAGGTTTTTTACCAGTATTTTTTTTTTCTTAAAACGGTATAACGAAGTTTTTTTTTTTTCTTATTAAATCCTACAAATTTACCGCATGCGGACCGCACACATCGATTGCACCGAACCCAGTGTCAATTACTACGGCTATCTATAACTAGTTTAAAACAGTTCAGTTTCTATATCGGTGTCGATGTTTCAGTTACCGATCTAATAGTAAATGCATTACACTAAAAGTTAATGCATTATTGAAAAAATTGAACTTTATCACAAGAATATTTTTGGGAACTGTACGAACAGAATTAGTTAAATATAATGTAGGTTATCTATGTGGAGATGGTTAGGTGAAAATGAGTATAATGTTTTGTATATTAATTGTATATGAAATATCTGTATGTATAATAACTATAAATATTTTATGCATATTAGTGTACAAAACTACGAATGCATTTTTAATATAGCTGTGTATGTCCTTAACTAATATTATAAATGTAAAAGTGATATTGTTTGTTTGTTACGTTTTCACGTCTAAACCGCTGAATCGATTCTGATGGAGTTTGGTATAGATATTGATAAGATACGGTTATAGATTCCTTTTTTCCCAGTCAATGAACATACCTTGGTTGCTCGAACGAAGTCGTGGGTAAAAGCTAGTATTTTATTAAATAAAATATATTACGCATATTTTTAAGCGGATATGGTGTTTTATTGTTCAATTTATGTGGTCCGAATAAAACAGGGGTTTATGATTTATGACGTTACTAAGTATACGGCGTATGCAAAGATTTTTGAAAGCACAACGGATCAGCATCTACCAAAAATAACCGGTGCATTCTTGACTGGATTGAAAAAAAAATCAAACAGACGTCAGTTAACTTGGAAAATGTTCATAAACGGAGCACCTATAGCCAAGAATAAACACAGCATCAAGGTTGTCGTTCTTAAAAATCATTCTCCATTTTTTTATTAAAGCGAACGTGAAGTTCCGTCGGCGATATTCCTGAAAATACCTATTGCATTTATAAAGATCAAACGCTATGAACAAACGGGCGTTCATGTAAACATATCATACCTAGAGCGTAGAGTTCCCGGGGAGCATGGAGCGCGGGCCGCGGGTGCGCACGCGCACGCCGTTATAGCGTACGCACTAACACACCATTATCTGTACGTAAACTGAAATACATCATGCTTTCGTGCCGTTACTCGCTTATATTTTTGTTTAAGAGCTTTTTGGAGATACGTTGTACAGATTCTGGATATTTCACGACAACATAACGATGGAAATATACATAGGTATCGAAAAATTTACACTGCGATACAAGTATTTAAATATAGACTATAATATATTTTCGACATTCAAATGGAAGAAAGTAGCAGAAATGTTTTAGAAATGACTATCAACCGTCATGCTCAAGGACTAAGAACAGACATT